CAGAATGAAAAACATCCATATCAATAATAATTTAGAAACAGGTATATTTAAAATGAACAGTAACGACTGTTACATTGGAGAAACTTAACAGAAATTTAAAAAAGACGGATATATGAAAACAAAAGACCTTATACATAACAATTTTTAAGTACATTAGTCTTATACAGAAACAAGTTCGATCTCAAGAGTGTCACACTTATGAAATGAAAAAGAATCTTACATGGACGGAAAATTCTTGAGAATGTCGCTATTGAAACTTATCAAAGTGTAAATTTGCGCAAAGGCTGTTTCCTATATTTCGTTTCCTAAAATAAATACTTTTTTCTAAGTCGTCATACATAACCATAACTTTCTAATTAAAACATTTAAATTCGAAACTTTTCATTATTTAAAAAAATAAGTAGATAAATATTTTATCTAATTAACATGAAATAACAAACAATAAGTACATTACAAAAATGTCAACAAAAACAGTACCAACATTTACCCAGTCTTTTTTATTAGGCATTAAATTAAATGACTTAGGATTCGCCAGAGTTTACCTTAACGCTCACGGTCAGCCGAAAGAATATTTATGAGCATCCTTCAATATTGAAAAATTATAAGCCTAATGAAATTCTTACTTCTGTTTATAAATACTTGTTGCAAACTATAATTCTTAAATTTTCATTAGTAGATATTACTAAAGAAAATTTAAGAATTTATAAATAGAAGTAAGAATTAAGGATGTCTAAGGACGAAAAGCATCGGTAAAAAAGCATTTCCTTTTGTCTTCATTTATATTATATTTTTCTTTTTACAGATATATTTTTAGTTTAATCTGAATATTTTCACACATACATACATACATACATACATACGTATATATATATATATATATATATATATATGTGTGTGTGTGTGTACGTGTGTGTGTGTGTGTGTGTATATTTGATAAAATAATATATATATATATATATATATATATATATATATATATATATATATATATATATATATATAAGCAATTCATTTCATAGTATAGAGATATATAATCTTTTGAGGTCGAAAAACACTCATACACATATAACTTGTACATTACGTAAAACTATTATTATTAAATCCGTTGCCTGAAAAACGAATTGAGAATTAAGCCAACATTTTCTTTATAAGTCTATTTTGCTTTGACTGCATTTATTGTTTCTGAATTGATGTCTGCCGTCTTGAGACTGTATTACAATATCTAACAAAATCGCCTACAAAGCAAACTTCGACTCAAAAAAAATAAAATAAAAATTAACGAAGAGAGAAAAAGAAAAGAAAAACACCGATATTAACTGTCCATGGAGCCATTTTTAAATTTATATTAACCAAACCGTATTGACTGTTTCAGACAAAAATATGAAAATAATCTGCAACTATAATTTCGATGTCCATATTTATGAGGTAGCAAAGGTAAAAAAAAAAGAAATTAATAAAGCCATGCTGTTTCTCATTGCTAATGAAGAGAAAAGCTAATATATTCCGTAGTAGAAGAGATGGTTTCCATCGGATACAATTGTTCGTGTTTGAACCAAAGTAAAAAGGCCGGAGTAGTTCAAATGTTTTACAATGGAGTCACTAGGAAGATTCTTTAGCAACAAATAATTCTCCTCTCGAATTCTTCGGTGATGAAATACAAATAAATGAGATCTTAACGTAGACAAGTTTAGTGAAGAATTGTGCCTACGATTCACCAGTTCAGGATAAGACTTTTTTTTAATTTCTTGTTTTCTCAGAAGAAGCTTATTCGTCAAACGAACTCGAAATGTTACGCCAAATAGTCGATTGCGTGGCATGTATCCAAAATCAAATGCCTAAATAAAATTGCAATTTGGAGTTACGATTTTATATTTTCGTTTTATCTGTCATTGTTACCTATCATTTTATGAGTGTTTTCAATTCTACGACGATTTTGATTTTGGAAAATTATTATAGAGATGGTGTCTCCTTACTGTTGACAATGACGTTTTTACGCCAAGCCGATATAAGATGTGCTCTGAAAAAAACGGTCTGTCGTTATAGGCGTCATTACATTTACCATCTCTCTCCGCATTCATGCGGTGTAACAGTTCTACTGGACTCGCTAATCTAACGCTTCAAGTTATCGGTGTTCCCAAGTGGAACTCTATTAAATTACTGCCCAAACCCGTCGCTGCCTGAGCAATGAGTGAAGAAAGACTTCTCTTTTAGTGTGATTTTATTTATATATTGGATCAGAACAAAAGGATGGGCCAGATTTTCGTTATTTTTTTTATTTTCTAATCGGTACGAACTTTTGCAATGATCTAATAATCAAGTTTTTTGTAAGTTAATTTACAATGCATGTTCATAAACAAAGATAAACTAGAAGTAAATATAATTATTACTAGGATATTTTTTTTACTTCAAGAATACATAAGCACAACATGAAAACGAAAGAAAAGAAATGCTAAAGAGAAAGCGAAGAAAGTAGGGAGATCCCGATTTATTTACGTTTATTTGCTACTTTACTTTTAATAACGACATCTTCCTTCCCTGGGGAACTCAAATAAACTAAAGAAACAGTTTTCACTAATTTCAATCAGGAAACATTTTGAACGATTCAAAATCGATATCAAAATTGAAAATCGAATTTGAAGATAGAAATTCGTGTTTTTCGGTGATTACTTTGGACGTTTTTAAAAGCCAGATTATTCTTGACGACTAAGTCTCAGGAATTTTTCTATTTTTTTAAAATTCAGCTCCTTAAAGTATCCGACAAATCTGACTTTAAATTATTTATAATATTTAGATTTAGATTCATGTTTTCTTCAATTCTTACAAATCTGTCAATCGCAAGGCATCACTCCATTGATGGTTACATAGGAGATTCTGAGAAGCTAAACAACTTGTTCCATATAAATTAATGATAAATGATTCTTCGATTTAAGCCATACCTCCTTACGAAATGTTTCATCGGAATTGTTTACTTTTAGATAATGAGGTAAACCTTTCGCATTAATTTATATTTTCCGTCTTATAAGAACGATTCAGTCGTATTGCCCTTGAACCTTCTTCTATTTGTTTGTTTAATGACATATCAAACCCTCATGGGTCATTTAATGCCGAAATTTAATTTTCTTGGGAGCTTTGAAGTAATGAAAATCTGCATTCACAATTGAATACATGGTAGATGATACTTTGGGCATATATATATATATATATATATATATATATATATATATATATATATGTGTGTGTGTGTGTGTGTGTGTGTGTGTGTGTGTGTGTGTGTGTGGAAATGATTAATAGATTCGGTGATATGTGTTTTATGTCGTATTTTTGTTGAAATTATATTTAGGAATACAGTTTAATTTCTTTAAGAAATTGTAGGATATTATATGGTTAATCTCATTAAATAGTTCTTTCATATTGATTGATTTATTGTTGGTAATCTTACTATAAATACGTATTGTTGGCAATTTACTTCATATAAAAATGTATTTCTGGTATTTTTACTATAAAATATATTTTTATAATTTCCGAGTTTTTTTTTGCGGGGGGGGGGGTCACTATTTGCCCATAGCCAGGAACCTAACAGGTGCTACCACCACGGGTCAGGGTGGATCAGGTAACCTTTGGAGAATTTAGAACTGAAACCGTTATTTCATTTGCGACAGATGATTGTTCCTGTTACACTGTCCATAACAAGGGATATATTTTCTTGTTCTCTCAGTTACCGCTGGCCTCTTTCCAATAAGTCCGATGCTCTTTTACTCAGGTCATGGTTTGAAACATTTTTTTTACTAAAGTTCATCGGATTAAAGACCCAAAAGCCACTCAAGGTAGAACGTTACTGAAGGATGCTACTCTGTGAGCGCTAAAGGAAAGATATAAAAAGCACAATTTACGAAGATATGTGGGATACATAACGGTTTACGCTAGACATGAACAGGTTGAAGTTGTGAGCTGTCGAAGAAGCATCCTCTTGAGAGTCTGTTCGACAAAGTAGAGAATTGTGGGAAGAAACTGTCAGAGTTAAACTTTCTTCTAACCAATGGATGCAAAAAGAATAATAATGGTTCAATCCTGTGCACGTCGTAAGGTAAGTTTTAACTGAGATATTTCAAATATGTGGAAGTAAATAATTTTCATGGAAATAGCGAGAGGCTTGCAAAGTTTTTTTCTGTGGGAAAGCGGATGTACGTTGGAAAATGCTTCCTCTCTCACAAGGCCACGTAGATGCTTTTGAACTATATGCAAAATATGGAAGATATGATAGCAGTATTCCATTTTAGTAATGAATCGTATATAGTGGTTCCACGAGGTCTGGCCTGAACTTGAGTTCCAATAAGCGTTCAAAATAGGGGCCTTATTGCGAGAACACTCATTCAGCGCTACAGGTGAAAATTCTGCATTTGCTTGATGATGACGGAATGTTATAGATTTGGTGTTTGAGGTAATGAATGTGTCCCACCTGTTCTCATAATGAACTGTTATAGCTGGTTCAGAGAAGAGATCAACTGCCAGTTATCCATAGCTTTAGAGCTTGGGTAACAACCCTATATGTTACAGAATGTCTAAGGTATATCTAATGCAATCTTCCTCGTGATGAATTTATTCTGTAATGCTTGTGATTCTGTGCATAATGTGCTTTAGGATATCAGCAATGGATCTAGCAGAGTGAAAATTGTTGAGGAGGTTGTTCACGCTAAAGTCATCAAAAACCTTCTTGTTGATGAAAATCACAAGATGTTTGTTGATAGCAATGAGCAGGCTGATTTACCAATATTGCGACTGGGATGGGCGCTTACTCGCATTTTTGAAAACTGAGCCTTCACTTAACACCTGTCAGAGATTTGGAAATGATTTCTCCTTCAGTCAACCGTTAAATACTTAATTTTAGTATTAATTAATATTCTGCTTTGAGACATTTCTTAATACAAAATAAGTACCTTTAAGCTAATTCTTCTTAACGGTCTTCATGTTGCTGCCACAAATGTTGAGGTGGACTTACTGTCATGCTTCCTCTTTTGGGCTTGATGCTTCTTTATTTTAATGCTGTTGATGAAGCTGTTCCTGTCAAAATTGCTTCTACCCTAGATTGTCTTTCTGCCTTCATGGTTTCCATATATTATTGATTTCTTTGTTAGGTTTGCTGAAGAGGTGTTAATATCTACACTGACTCATTCAAGCGTTTTATTCTCTAATATACCTATGTGTCTTGTATTTTACTTGACTCCACATGTGTTATCGACTATCATTTTAATTATATATAAATTATATATAAAGTTATATAGAAATTCCGTGGTGATACTGATCCAAGTATTCATAACCCAACGGATTGTTCCCCAAGAGGCACGACTTCCCTTTCCCCGGAACAGCTGAGTCAAGCAAGGCTATGTATTCTTTTGAGGATTCTTCTAGATTTGATGGATTACTATATATATATATATATATATATATAGATAGATAGATAGATAGATAGATAGATATATTGTAGACTTTTTTTCATAATCTCTTTACTTTGGACACTTTCAGAATTTCTATGAACGACTTTTAGAATCACAATACACAAGAAATATAACATTAACCAGAATAATTAGTTAGGCGTTCCGGAGGTCTGTTGAACATTGAGAAATTGATTATTATGACGTTTGATATAAATTTGGAATCATCTTGATATTTCTAGCTGTTTTGACTCAGTCTATCAATTTCCGGAAATAAGTTGAGAGAAAGCATCAAAACTAAACGAGAGGCTATCAATGAAGAGCGTCCATTTTGACTTGTTGGAATCTGTTTGAAAAAAAAGTAAATCTAGCATTAGAACACAGCACTTCATTCCACATTCTCTCTCTCTCTCTCTCTCTCTCTCTCTCTCTCTCTCGGCTCTGTTTTTGTCTTCACATTTATGCAAAGAGTAGTAATAGTATCAAATAAATTTGAGAAGTAAATTTTTACTAATATTAATAATAATGATTAAAACTGTTTCATTTAATGGCTAAAATGCAACTCAATATCAGAAGACTCAAGCTTAGTTTTTTTATTAATTTTCATCTCGATTAGTGTGCTCGAAGACATGGAATAGGTATTTAATATGGTGTAGTCTGCATTGGTGCCAGGCGAATTGAAGCAACTCGATTTCAAATCCATTCCAGGTGTTCGAAGATCTCATTAGAAATGCTGAGTAATTCTGTCTCGACACATGTCGACATATTCTTGATATTTCTAGGCACAGGATCTAAGCTCCGATTAGACATCTGTACTGTCCTCGATCGGATTCATTTTCTTTGAATATTATGCGCAAACCATTGGTCGGGTGTCGGCAGAATGCTCCCCAAGACAATTTTGTGAAATTTATGGCCGATGAGACTATCCTGCAAGACTATTCAATTTTTGTTGGGTTACATGGAGCCCATGAATATGTGCAAATGGGCACGAAACAGTTCAAATGGTTAAGGATATTTTAGAGAAACAAAATCAAAACATCTCCCATAAATACATCCCATCTCATTATAGAACTATCATTTGATTGTGCGATGTGTTGTTGACAAATAGAACCTGGTGAAATCTACGTCATGCCCGAAAAATGCCATCAGTCCTAACCAATAGAAACCGTAAATCAGCGGACTACGCTAGTCCTTTAGCGATGTCACAAGTCCAAATGAAGCACACGGTCTGATGTTATTATGTGAATAGTGTAATACCGGTGGCTTTTCTTGTTTCATACCTTATGGAAGTTAAAGAATGCAGAACTTATCTGATAGATATGCGTCTGCTGCCTCTTGAAGTCAATAGTTGTATAACAGGCAATTATAGTCAAATGTCTCGAATCCAGATCATCAAGAACCTGTTGTAACTTTCTACGTTGTGCATGGTATGAGGTCATTCTCTCCATCTGGTACCACATGTATACATGTGACACCGTCTTTCGAGCGATATCAAATATTACCATAACTTAAAAACTTGAAAGTCCCATCCTTTCCCCCCCCCAATATCTTACCCATTTCCAACTTCGAGAATTAACATTGCCATGCTCCGAGCAGACAAGTCATTGTTGACACTGATTTACCAAATATCAACACAACAAATATAGTATTGAGTATTTCTGTCACACCTCGGTAGTGTGTACCACCTACCATTACATTTGCTTATTGCTAACCTATGACTTTTGGCAAGTCAGTGAATATTTGAAGCTTTTATCGCACGTCCTTTGCCCTGGAACGACACAGAGTCTTGGCTATTGTTCCGGTAAGGCGTTAAAAGCTCTCTTATTCCAAAACTGTCATGAAAGTGTTCAGTTGGACCATTAGTCACGCTGTTAGGATCGTTGGAGTTTTTTTTTCCCTTGCGGAATACCAGATTGTCTCGTGTTCATTCATACGAGTCGCTACGAGAAAGCCTGGCTTATCGCCCGGAAAGATTGTTTCAGCGAGAATCAGAAACTCGGAATTGGCACAAACACACAGCAAATTGAGATTTAATGCGAATCATACCAGACATTTAGCATAGTTTTATCATTTTGTTTGGTTTCATTTCTCATATCAGTTTCTAACTTGAACTTTAAATGTTATATTTTTAAAAATATAGAATTATTTAAGTGGCTTTAAAAGGTGTTTATGGATCATTTAACTACAGGAATTTTATCTAATTGTTTGAGTAAAAAATCTATTGATTGTAATTTGTCTGCCATATTCTGTTTAGTGATGGATGAACTAAACAATTGAAACATCTGGAGCCTTGTATCGCAAATCTAAGTCGTTTTCTTTTTCAAAAGACCTTCAAAGTTACCATACATCCAACACAGTAAAGATACATTATGATATCTAATCTGAAAAATGTCTTAATTTCTATTTCTACATCTATCTATCTCAGTCTGTTCATCTCTCTCTCTCTCTCTCTAACTGTCTATCTATCTATCTATCTATCTTAGTTTGTACATATTTATCAATTAGTCTTAGTCTGTTTATATCTATCTATCTATCTATCTATCTATCTATCTATCTATCTATCTATCTATCTATCTTAGTTTGTTCATATTTATCTATCAATCTTAGTCTGTTCATATCTATCTATCTATCTATCTATCTATCTATCTATCTATCTATCTATCTATCTATCTATCTATCTATCTATCCTACAAACGAAACATATTCCCAACCATTTTGGTATCCATAGATCTACCAAGTTCTTTCTTTCTGATTCCATTATCGTCGATGAAGATTATTGTTCATATACCTGTTGATCATTTCTCCATTCACAGAGTATACTCATAATCAATGGTTGGGTTCCATTGTGGGATTAACGAAATTTGTTTAATTGATTTCGCTCAACATCCGCTATATAGTATGACAATCAACAATATGAAAATACATGACTGTCTATTTCTTTGTTAGTTCCGAAACGTACAATTGAAAACACGGACTTTGTCTTCGCCTGGTGAGATTTCTTTACCGGGAAGGGTGACTGCTTAATTTCACCAAAGCACGTGATGTACACGCACATACACATTCATATACACGCACATACACATTCATATACACACACATATACACACAATTTTTTAACAGCTAATCTCATGAATGTTTTCTTCTCTTTATCGGAGCTCTGCCTGTGTATATACATGATTGTAATTTCAGTCCGCTTGTGAGACCTATTGTTCTCTATATAAAAAGAAAGGCTCTCGAATGAACAGGCCGCTAGACATATATTTACACTACTCAAAAAAGCAGGTTTATTGAGTCGAATATGGGTATGCAATAAATCTAACATCTAATGAAATAAGAATTAAATATATGTACAACATTACGTTTTATTCATTTAAATTGAAAGTTTCCAAAGTTTTCACCGTTACAGTCATTTTCTACAAACTCATGAACTTTGTTACAACATATCGACCTTCATAATGTTTCCAGCAGACAAATAGAGCTACTTTCAATAGACAAGTGTATGTCCCATATTACATTTCGATCAGTGATTTTGTTATGTCTTACTGCTAGACAAATATATGGAGACTGTTGACCTAAGTAATTTGTCTTTTAGGTTTTTTATCATCATCCTAAATTTCGACTGTATCAACTAAGATGGGGATATTTAAATGCCGCAAAATAAAACATATCTGCCTCAGGCGCAAAACACGTTGACATGCAATATTTTACTGCTGTCTTTTCTTTTAGACACAATATATATATATATATATATATATATATATATATATATATATATATGAACCGTGGATGTGTATCTGCGCCTAGCCTCGGATTTTTTATATGGATGTGTTGGCGTGAACTAAGATGCGTACATTTGTATATATATATGTATGAGAGTGACTCTCCAAACAAACACACAAGTAGATACCCACTACCACCCCTAAACATAGTCAAGCATAAATAAATCCAATTTTAAAAATAAACCAGTTGGTATGATAATTGCAAAAGTGTCACAAACTGAATATATATATATATATATATATATATATATATATATATATATATATATATATATATATATATATATATATATTAGTGGTTGAAATATATATATATATATATGATATATATATATATATATATATATATCTTTAAAACTTTTTGATATATATTTATATATATATATAAACCGGTTGCTTCCCCCTTTTGTTGTTGAGTTTTTTTATTATTTAATACTTTTTAATATGTCTTGTAATATTAAAATTTATACTTTTATTTCGATCATTAAATTTTGTACCTACAAAATATCTTTAAATATATATATATATATATATATATATATATATATATATATATATATATATATATATATATATATATATATATATATATATATATATATATTTTTTTATATATATTTTTATTTCCCTTGTACCTTCACCACAGGATAGCGGGGCTGTGTTCTTGTTAGGACAATGATGAACTTTTCAAAATTGTTTGGGAACCCTGAGAAAAAAATCGACAAAAAACGTTCGCTTTCCAACCATGCAATACAGGTTCGAATCTCATCATGGTCGATTTGTCACGAAGGTGGCTGCTTCATGTTATTGGCCTTTGAAGTCAATTCCAGAAGGCAACACTATAGGAAAGTTCCTGAAACCCATACAACGTGTTGATCCGAGCCTTGTGAGAAAAACTGGCTATTTGGAAATATTTGTCTATATCTATGCGTTAGAGTGTTTATGTAGCTTTCTGTCTGTGTATTTATGTATATTTCTTTGACTTTTATTGTATGTTTATGATCAGTACTGCTATTTCGTCAACACTAACAAAGTCACATTCCTCACCCCCACCACAGTCGACGAAGTAAGGCTGCCACATTAATTTTAAGGTCGCGTAAAATTTAATTTACCCTTTCTCAAAAGATATGTTCCTCGAAAAACCTTGTAATGTACGGAATAAATTATTTAAAATGAACATTTAAGAATAAGAAGTTGAAAAATTTTTATTAAATTAAAGCTAGAAATACAATACCTATTAAGTCTATCGCCAGCTTCGATTAGGCTAAGACCTACACAGCCCGACTAGCTATTTTAACTTTATTTCATTTTTTTTTTACTTACTTTATGCCTTTGCTTTTGTTTGTCTTTCTTTTTTCTTTGTTCTTTATTATGAAAAATATCAACAAAAATAATTTCGGTCAGCATTTTGAGGCACGGAGTTGAAATAATTAATTTTGGATCGAGTCAAGAATGTAAAAGAAACAATACGAAAAATCTTTGTTTTGAAATATATATATTGACTTACTCGACATAAGCCTGACCCTCGGAGTCACCATTGATATATATATAGAGATAGATAGATAGATAGATAGATAGATAGATAGATAGATAGATAGATAGATAGATAGATAGTGCAATCTAGTTGTGGATAACAAATGAATATCTCCCCCGCAGTTTTGCAGGTTTTAGACCCACTTTTTTCGAGTGGTTAGATCAAGTGACACATTTCGGTGAGTGAAGAGCAAGGCCTCAATGGAAGTTAAGCCTATCATGCTGCCAAGTTACTTTAATATTTACGCGTAGTCAATCCCGATGTTCAAGCCGGCTTCGCTCAAAACTTTGTATAGATGCTAAGCAGGACAGACGCCCAGCTCCTTCCCTCTGACGAAAAGAAAAGGAAAGAAAAGTGGATGCTGCCCCGTTTCAGATATTCTTTGAAACACAAAAGTGGCTTTACAATTTACCTGCTTGTTAGAAGCTAGCCAAAGAGTAGTTTTTGATGTCTACTCTCGCTCATACAAGAAAGATGTCCTGCCTAATTGTTGGATATTCATGAGGATGGCTTCAATACATGGCATGTTGCATTTAATCAGAAATTTACTGTTTTTAATGCGTTCATTTACTTTTTATATTGGTACGTAAGCAGTGCACTTTGAAAGCATCAAGTAGATTGATGTGTCGTCGATACATTGTCCAAGATTCTGCACTATAGACTATGGAAGACAGTACTACTGACTTGTACACATGAATTTTCACCTATAACAAAGCACCACGTGTATTACCGTAGGTAGAACTAGTTTTCCAGTCCGGTACTCAATTTCATTTTCCATCTTAGCAACGTTGTATAAAATGGAGTCACGGGAGATAAAAAGAAGGAAAGGTTTTCATGACTTTTCTCTCAACGTCAATAGTGGGATCAGCAGCTGGTGAATTTTTATAGATAGGATGATGGACAAGTTCCGTTATTTTATGCTGATGGTCACACTGAAAGGTTTTGATGCATGAGATAATTTGTTAGCAATGCAGTGCATATCCTCAAGGGCGTGGGCTACAAGTGCGTAATTGTCCGTAAAAAGCAGGCTACGAACGGTTGGCACAATAATCTTAGTTCTTACATTGAAACGTTGTTTGTTGAAAAACCCACCACTTGGCCTAAACCCAAATCTCAAACTAAATTTTACATTCTCAAATTCTGTCTCCAGCATTTATATATATATTTATATCTATAGACACACATACAATACACATAAGTATTTATAAAAAGTTGTGATTTTTTATCTATCCCTGTAATTTTTTCATTATGCTTTTAAATGCAAAACGGTTGAAAATCTGCTGAGCGTTCATTAGAATGTGAAATTAATGATATTAATGAACAACATATAGTTTTGTATTACTTGCACTCTTGAAGATGATCTTGAAAAAAGATCGAAAATACTTGTGAAATGAAAATATGATGTGGGGCCAATGTCGGGACCACAGAAGGAAAACACGGAACACGGATTAGATGTAAGAAAGATATATTAACAACAGGTTACAGAGATAGTGTAAGCGGAGTTTACTATATGTTAGTGTCCAATACTGGTAGTCGTACGCGGCTCTCACTGTCTCTCTGTGACTCTGTCTAGAGTGTTGTGTCGCATATTTAATATAGACCTGGAAGAGTCTATTGTGTAAGTAGTTCCTGTCTCACAATACCGGCCTTCCAGTTTATGTAAAATGCAAGCACCAATGCCGTACGATCTTGCATCACTTGCGACTATGATGTCGAGACTAGGGTCGTAATGGGTGAGGGAGAGGTCTGAAGTAAGAGTTTTCTTGATCTTCTCGAATGCGTCTTGGCATTCCGGGGGCCATGACCATGGTTTGTCTTTTTTAAAAGTTGGTTGAGAAGCACTCTCAAAATTTGCATGTTCTTAATGAACCCTTGGTAAAAGTTAGCTAGGCCGCGGAAGTTTTGTAACGGTTGAACATTATCTGGGACCGGCATGATCGCGTTGGCTTGTATTTGATTGAACTTCTTTTTTACGTAAACCGTAGGTGCTGCTCACTCGCTGCAATCTGTTTTTGACAGAATACCTGCTTGTTCGAGTCTATCTAACTCTTTGTTGATTTGCTCTAGATCAGCGAAAGGGACATTCCGTTTATTTTTGAATACCGGTTGTGCACCGTCCTTCACCTTGAACTTAGCTTTCATTTTAGTACATTTCCCAAGACCCCCAGAAAAAACCTGGGGAAATTGTTGTTTGAGTTCCTTTTTTAGATTTACCAAATTGGTCGTTGTACTTTGTATCTTGCGACAAAATGTACTCATTGGGCAATCCCAAAGATTGAATCTTTCTATCCAATCTGTTCCAAATAAGTTATCTGAATTTTTTTCAATACGTAGGCTTTGAGCTTTTTGGTAACTCCATTTAGTGTTACTGTAAATATTACCTCACCTAAAATATTAGACTTTTCGTAAGTTACG